CTTCGCGCGCATTTGTTAGGGTTGAAGCTTGTGCTTGCCCTCCTTTGCCTTCTAAGTTATTTAAAAACACAATAGTCCCAAGACTTGAGAAAGAAAATTTAAGATAGATCGTTTTACCTAAAAGAAGGGCCTTAATGTGTAATGATGGTGAAAGAATAGGCCTATGAATTGTAATAAATAAAACCACGATGAAAATGCTTATATTTAGTTCCAAACACACGCGTTTGCCCCTATATTAATATTAAAATAAGCCATGCCGTATTGTTTTCTATATGGGGGGGGGGGTATCACAGTCATAAATTACTAACCGGGATTTCCTTTGCCCCCCCCCCCGACCCAAGACCCCTGTTGCGCGCCAGCTTATAAGTGGGGCCCCCCCACTTTGAAAAACGTTCCGCCGGCCCTGTGGTGCTGTTGTTTGAATATGTGTGTTCACATGAAATTCACACGTTCAATAATTACTTCAAAAATTAGTAATGATCCAAATGCGTACACAGATCGAAAAATAGGGCCAGGGCCTAGGCCTAAATCCAGAAAAACAACTATTAAAGCCAATGATAAACGTCGGTTCGGTTAACCTCGATTACGACAAGAAAGTTCAAAAAGATGGTACTGCATGATACCACATTTTGTTGTCGGATGTTTCATGGGAAAATTCCAATTAAAATTATAAGACTGGCCATCATTAATGGTTTCAAAATTTAAGAATTGACTAGGATATTCTGGCAATTTCTTACTTGATTGCAAAAAAGTATAGCTCGTCATGCTAGCAAGCACGGAAACCCTGTATCAACCTATATTTATAAAGGTAACTTTTTGTTGAAAAAATGTACTTTATGAGTGGTTGAATCATGGTAAAATTTTCTGTAATTATGTGTTGTGACTGAGAAGAAAATTCAGGTAAAAAAAATTAAGAATTAAAAGTTAGGTGCGAAAGTTCATTAGCGCCAAATATTCTAGCTAGGGCTTGACCTACGCCCTGGGTTTCTCATATTTAGCTTAATAGGTAAAATTTAAGAAAATAAGTCCAGATATTTCAAATTTTTGCGTAAAATGGGTTCACATTGTTTGAATTAAAGTTGGTCCACCCTGATATTGTCCCACACTGTATAAAAATCCTGGCATTGGCATTGATCCTCATCCATCATCATTCTTATTAATCATCATTATCAATCATCATCCTCATCATGAGGATGATGATGAGGAGGAGGACGACAAGAATTAGGGTGAGTCAGAGGGATGTTTCTCATCATTCATCAACATCATTCTCATCAATCATCATCATTATCATGATCATCCTCATCAACAACCATTATCATCAATCATAATCATCATCATCCTAATCCTCCTCCTTTATCATCATTATCCTCACCATCATTATCAGCATCATCTTCTTCCTCATCATCATCCATCATCAATCATCATCTACCTCATCATCTTCCTTCTCCTCATCAACCGCATCATCCTCATCCTCCTCATAATCATTCTTATCTTCATAATCATAATCATCATTACCATCATCCTCATTATTATCATCATCCTCATCCTGATTACTGTCATCATCATCATTACCATCATCATTTTCATCATTATCCTCTTCTTCGTCATCAGTCAGGACGAGAATGAAGATGAGGACGAGGATGATGATGAGGAGGTCGAGAATGAAGATAAGGATGAGGGTGATTATGAGAGGGATGATTCTCATAATTTATCATCTTCAACATTCTCATCAATAATTTTCTATCATCCTCATCACCATCATCACAATCATCCTCATCAACAACCATTATCATAAATCATAATCACCATCATCTTCTTCCTCATCATCTTCCTCATCATCTACCTCATCATCTTTCTTCTCCTCCTCATCATCAACATCCTCATTATGACGGGGATTATAATGAGGATAGAGATGACAATGAGGAAGATGATAATAATAATAATGACATCAGTATAGTAAGAATAACAGTACTAACGCTAATATTAATTTTAATTATAAACTATAAATTTTTTTAAACACATAAGAATAATGATATACTATATTAATAATATTATGTAGTAACATAATAGTATAATAATGATGATGATGAAAAATGTAGTGTAGAAAGATTAAATTTAAATAGGAAAAATTGGAATTTGGTGTGTTGACGTCATTCCGAATTTGCTTGGGAGGTGGGGAATTCCACAACGAGGTTGCCACACCACAAATAATGATTTGCCTATCCATATAACATTATTTTGATTACCAATTCCTAATATTTTGGCTTAAAAGCAAAATGTTGGGTCATACTAAACTAAAAAAAGACCCCCACTGAACGATCATAATGGGTAAGTATTATCAGTTTTCACATTTATAGAAAAAAAACTAAGTGGCTAAAAACAAAAATATGTTTCCCATTTTTTATTTTAAAGCAAAATTTTACTATTTTATTTTTTCATTGGGATTACTTTGTAGTAGTTCATTAATTATATATATTTTTTATTTTATATCTGTATATATAATATTGTTTTGAGATTGTATTGTACTTTGGTAACAATGAAATTATTTCTACATTAAAAACATAGTTTTTCCCCACCATAATGGACGCCATCTTGGAATTTGTCATGATGACGTCATCATTCTGATCAAATTTTTTAATGAGAGTGATGAGTAACTATTTAGCCAAGTTGTTGTTATATTTAATATCCACAGTACATGTAAAAGTGACTAAAAACATAAATTTATTTCCCCTGCCCCCACCTTAAATAGTTTAAAATGGGGTAAAATTTTATGCCAAAATTTCAAAGTGCTGTAAACAAAATTGCCCAAGTCCTAGCCTAAGCATGGGGATATTTTTTTCTGAGACACAATATGGTATGCTGATTCAGAAAAACCAAAAATTAATTGTCCTTTACTTTTTTTCCCGCTAAAGTTCATTTCAGCAGTTTTACAACCAGGCTAAATGTGCAAAATAATTTTTGATATTTTTGGCTACTTTTCTTGAAAAAGAATGCCAGAATGGCTGTGAGGCTTGTGAATTTTTATGGGCATGTGAACAGATATTGAGCACCAGCCATGGGTAAAAATAAACTAAAATTTGATTCATGGCTCAAACTCTATATGCTGCTGTTTTTAAACTCTGTAGGTTGCCCTTCACATTGCACAGCTCATCCCTCCAGCTTGCACAGGAGCTCATCCCTCTCCAGCTTGCACAGGAACTCATCTCTCCAGCTTGCACAGGAGCTCATCCCTCTCCAGCTTGCACAGGAGCTCATCCCTCTCCAGCTTGCACAGGAGCTCATCTCTCCAGCTTGCACAGGAGCTCATCTCTCCAGCTTGCACAGGAGCTCATCTCTCTCCAGCTTGCACAGGAGCTCATCTCTCCAGCTTGCACAGGAGCTTATTCCTCCAGCTTGCACAGGAGCACATCTCTCTCCAGCTTGCACAGGAGCTCATCCCTCTCCAGCTTGCATATGAGCTCATCCCTCTTCCAGCTTGCACAGGAGCTCATCTCTCCAGCTCACAGGAGCTCATCTCTCTCCAGCTTGCACAGGAGCTCATCTCTCTCCAGCTTGCACATGAGCTCATCTCTCCAGCTTGCACAGGAGCTTATTCCTTCAGCTTGCACAGGAGCACATCTCTCTCCAGCTTGCACAGGAGCTCATCCCTCTCCAGCTTGCATATGAGCTCATCCCTCTCCAGCTTGCACAGGAGCTCATCCCTCTCCAGCTTGCACAAGAGCTCATCTCTCTCCAGCTTGCACAGGAGCTCATCTACTAAAATTTGATTCATGGCTCAAACTCTATATGCTGCTGTTTTTAAACTCTGTAGGTTGCCCAGCTTGCACATGAGCTCATCCCTCCAGCTTGCACAGGAGCTCATGCCTCTCCAGCTTGCACAGGAGCTCATCCCTCTCCAGCTTGCACAGGAGCTCATCCCTCTGCAGCTTGCACAGGATCTCATCCCTCTCCAGCTTGCACAGGAGCTCATCTCTCTCCAGCATGCACAACTTATCCCTCTAGGTTGCACAGCTCATTTAACCCAGAAACTTACACTTCAGGTCACACTTTACTATTCAGATCACCCTTTCACCTCATCCTTTCACACTGTACAGTCAGGCCTTTAGGTCTAGACCAAGTCATTGCACAGCCTGCTCATTAGGTCTAAAGCCAAGATGTATTGCTATGTTTTATTTAAATTATTTGGCATTACTTTAATATATATTTATTTTTACACTTATTATTTATAGAAACATTGATTAAAGACCTATAAAAATGTGGACTACAGCAAACATCTTATATTTATCTCTTGGTTTACCAGGCAGCCTAACTACAATAGGTATGTTTAACAATTTATTGCTATTAAAGCATTGCAGCCTAAGCGGGCATCCTAAAAAACAGCTTGAGAAACATTATTAATTTATTTAATGCATTAATGGTAAGTTTTGCTGTTTTTTAGTTTAGTTTAGTTTTTCATTTGCGCATTATTCAAGAGATATTGCCAGTTACAGAATCATTGAAATACTATTTTTAAAATATATGGACAGAGTTTATAAAACCAATCAATTGTGAAAAATAATACTAAGAATTCTTTCAAAAACAATAATACTGTATTTGGAAATAGAGAAAATAATCTATAATATTAATACACAATTGTTTTTTATTGCATTATATTTTGAAAAGTGGAATGAGAGTCAATGCAAGCATACCACCAAGCTATTGACCTTCACTCAATAATAATAATAATAATTAATAATTTGAAAATTGATGTAAGTTGTCTCTCGAAGAAAGCTCACCAGATCAGTGGCGATTCAAAGGCTGGGGGAAGCTGGACCGGGCCCCCTAATTTTTTTTTAAATTATAAAAAATAAGAGCACTCAGTAGAGAGAATAACTCCGTCCACCGCAAACCCTTTCTATAAAATAAACCTCCCAAAAAAGTTCCTAATTTACTTAAACCACTACCACCCCAATTTATTTTGCTCCACTCCTCTTCAAAAACGCACAATAACTCGCCAATCTCTTTCTATAAAATAATTCCTCAAAAATATGTTCCTACATTCCTACCGCCAACCACAATCTACTTTAAAAAAATTACACTGACAAAAGTTAGAGCTAATAAACAATCTCGCCAATATCTTACTTTTAAAAAGTTACACATAGTTTTTGAGATATCTGATCATATCCTGTACCAAAATATAATCACTTCATTTTTTGAATACATTCCATTGTATCAGTTGTACACCTTCTAATTCCTTACACATGTTATGATTTAACATACTAGCATGTTTTACCCTTTATAGCTGACAAACAAAATGCACGCAATGTATTGGTGTTGAAATGTAAATATTATGGAATTAGTAATATGGGGATTTGGTTTTTAGCATCGCATGTTAAAATGTAAAGATGCATTGAAAGTATTCCCAGTAAGTTCTGAAAAAAGTGAAGTTAGTACATATAGAATGCTGTACACATTTACTGTAATTGCACTAATTTAAATATTCATCATAGCTATTGTTTCCGCCTCAAGTAATATGGTAAATTTTTCTTTAAATGGTTCTCATATCCACCCCATACGCCGGATTATGACCAAAATTTAAACACTTCTTTATTAAAACATGACAAACTATTATGGAAAGCGTCATTTTCAACCATTGATCCAATCAAGAGAATTTACATATATGTTGCCGTTTTTTAGATATTTTGTACAAAAGAAAAAAAACTGAAACAGCAAAGCATTTTACACACACACAAACACACGAAACGAAAACATATATCTCCTGGTGGAGATAATAAATGGAGGAAAAAAGAAAATTACCCTTACGTTCAAATTTAAGTCTGACAGTGCATTTCCAGCAACCTAGAGATGCCATAATCATAATTTTCTTACCTCAGCCCCAACCATGGTGGGGACCATCCATCTGTGAAAGTTCCTCTCTAAACCACCTCTATTTCGAATTCCTGGATCCACCACTGTAGGTCTCCCGCAAATGACTTCTTCCAACAGAAACTTTGCATGAAACATTCACTGTTTTAATGTAAATTGTAATATTTGTACCTAACGAGAAGGAACAAGTAAAAGGAACAGCATGCACAACTTTTGTACAGAACTAATAAATGAACCCCACTTCTAACAAAATATTAAGACCTATCAAAATGGATACAAATTTAAAATTTGCCAATATACTAATCACAGTATTAAAATTTTATGATTCTATTATTTCAATAATTTTTCTACAAGTTATCTACAGCTAGTTTCCATGCAACGTTTTGTAATTTAGCGCACATGCAGATAAATAGACTAAAGTTACTGAGTTATTAACCTGTCCCATGATCAGTCAGTTGGCTGGATTGCAGCAAAATAAATAGAACATGGGCAACTGAAAGCACCTAATAGCAACTAGCAATTGGAATGCTCATGTCGCCTCAAATTGTTGCCCACTTGTTTGCCGGTTGATGGTAAGTTGCCAAAGGTCAGTTGATGTCAGTTGAGTCGAGTCATAAGGGCGATATAAGTGTAGCTTAAGAGACTGTTTTGTTGTTAAATTATAAATATATAATATAATTTTTTTTAATTTGACCTATTCTGTAGTTCTCGCTGTTGTAGCCATTCTAAAATTCTTTTGTCCTGAACGGTATGCAGACTTGAAGGATGCTGTTAAGTGCTGTGGTATGAAAAAAAAACCAAAAAACTTTTTTCCTTTGTTCATTTTTAATGATTTGTAATAAAAACATTAGCATAGATTGTGATTATATTAAAATACTTGTAATGTATACACGGTATCGATCACAGACAATGTGTTTTGTAAAGCATGTTTTGCCCAGGAAACTGTAGATGGTAGACCTGGTCAAAATTCATGCTTTTTTGCATGCTGTAGTATGCAACCACAGGTGCCTTGAGCACCATGGTTTTTACAGGCTAATTGATTTGTGCCTACTATCGTGTACTTACTGCAGCCCGCCTCGTCTGCTAAAGCAATGTCATGTTCAGTCTAGCATATTAACTGTGGGTACTGCGCACTGGCTTTGCCAGTTGGTGGACATACTGGCAAAAATTGTACTGCCTTAGCTTCCTGTGATTAATACTGTACCTCTCTTCCTATTTTTTTTTAGACAAATCCCAAGATGAAGGTAAAGGTACAGTAAAATCAATCCAACTGACCAAGTGAGGTGTGGTAGTGATAGCATATCAAAGTGGTAACATCTGTAACTTAATGAACTGATTTTGTTCAATATTTTACTTATTGAAAGTTGACTTAAAAACGATGAATTCAAATTTTTATTTAATTTTTTAGGTCTTTCTAAATTTTGTATCTTAGTTGGTATATTGTTAATCGTTACATCAGATTGTAATTTGTATTTATAAAATATCAGTACAATTCATGAAGGGTTGTTTTTATGATGACAAGTAATGCAGTAGTGGCAACCTTAGGATTGTATACAAAATTTTAAATTAAAGCATGTTTATTTATTATGTTTTCTTTATAACAATCATTGTGAAACATGAATATACATTAATCTAATTTTAAGTCACAAAATATAAACATCTATAGAAAGTTACAGGAAACAAAACCTTTCAAACATAACATGCAAACACTACTTTCAAACAGTAAAATTGACAACCACACGAACAGAAGAAATGAAAACAGATGAAACAAAATTGCTGTTTTTTTTAATATCCCAAAAAATTCAAATAATGAATCAGAAGTAAAGTTAGTGTTTTAAGGGTAATACCGAATTGAATTGAATTGATTAGTTACTTGCCTCATGGTTTATAATAGGTACTGCTGAAACTAAACCAAAAGATACAGACCCTTTTCTTCCTCAACCGGCACCAGGTGAGTTGACTATAATTCTATTATTTCTTTAGATAGCATATCAAATAAGGACATCTAACAGGTACCACAATGCTCAGATATCTCTCCTTTTTCTTTCAAAGACAGATTGATTTACTACGTCCCATGGAATTGAAATATAGTTAAGAGTTTTAGTAACAACCAAAACAGCAAGTTGTTTTCATCTCTCCTTTCTGTATGCCAATACCATACGTAGGTGTCTTTGGCACCTCAAGTCTAACCTGTCCCATGATCAGTCAGTTGGCTGGATTGCAGCAAAATAAATAGAACATGGGCAACTGAAAGCACCTAATAGCAACTAGCAATTGGAATGCTCATGTCGCCTCAAATTGTTGCCCACTTGTTTGCCGGTTGATGGTAAGTTGCCAAAGGTCAGTTGATGTCAGTTGAGTCGAGTCATAAGGGCGATATAAGTGTAGCTTAAGAGACTGTTTTGTTGTTAAATTATAAATATATAATATAATTTTTTTAATTTGACCTATTCTGTAGTTCTCGCTGTTGTAGCCATTCTAAAATGCTTTTGTAATGACCGGTATGGAGACTGGGAGAATGCTGTTAAGTGTTGTGGTATGAAAAAAAAAAAAAAATTTTTCTTTTGTTCATTTTTAATGATTTGTAATAAAAACATTAGCATAGATTGTGATTATTAAAATACTTGTAATGTATACACGGTATCGATCACAGACAATGTGTTTTGTAAAGCATGTTTTGCCCAGCAAACTGTAGATGGTAGACCTGGTCAAAATTCTTAATGGCTTTTTTGCATGCTGTAGTATGCAACCACAGGTGCCTTGAGCACCATGGTTTTTACAGGCTAATTGATTTGTGCCTACTATCGTGTACTTACTGCAGCCCGCCTCGTCTGCTAAAGCAATGTCATGTTCAGTCTAACATATTAACTGTGGGTACTGCGCACTGGCTTTGCCAGTTGGTGGACATGCTGGCAAAATTGCACTGCCTGTGATTAATACTGTACCTCTGTTCCTATTTTTTTTTTTAGACAAAAAGAAGAAATCCCAAGATGATGATACGAAAGAAAATGAAGATAAAGGTAAAATCAATCCAACTGACCAAGTGAGGTGTGGTAGTGATAGCATATCAAACTGGTAACATCTGTAACTTAATGAACTGATTTTGTTCAATATTTTATTTATTGAAATTTGACTTAAAAATGATGAATTCAAATTTTTATTTAATTTTTTAGGTCTTTCTAAATTTTGTATCTTAATTGGTATACTGTCATAAAATGTTTTTATGACAGGTAATACAGTAGTGGCAACCTTAAGATTGTATACAAAATTTTAAATTAAAGCATGTTTATTTATTGTGTTTTCTTTATAACAATCATTGTGAAACAATGATTATACATTAATCTAATTTTAAGTCACAAAATATAAACAACTATAGAAAGTTACAGGAAACAAAACCTTTCAAACATAACATGCAAACACTACTTTCAAACAGTAAAATTGACAACCACACAAACAGAAGGAATGAAAACAGATGAAACAAAATTGCTGTTTTTTTTTTTAATATCCCAAAAAATTCAAATAATGAATCAGAAGTAAAGTTAGTGTTTTAAGGGTAATACCGAATTGAATTGAATTGATTAGTTACTTGCCTCATGGTTTATAATAGGTACTACTGAAACTCAACCAAAAGATACAGACCCTTTTCTTCCTCCACCGGCAACAGGTGAGTTGACTATAATTCTATTATTTCTTTAGATAGCATATCAAATAAGGACATCTAACAGGTACCACAATGCTCAGATATCTCTCCTTTTTCTTTCAAAGACAGATAGATTTACTACGTCCCATGGAATTGAAATATAGTTAAGAGTTTTAGTAACAACCAAAACAGCAAGTTGTTTTCATCTCTCCTTTCTGTATGCCAATACCATACGTAGGTGTCTTTGGCGCCTCAAGTCCAGAATTGAGAATACTGTATACCACTGTAGTCTTATTTCAAGACTCATTAGCAACATTCTATAACCCAATGTTTTTGTTGTGGACTATAGTTACCAACTGCTGTGTTATTAGATGTCTTGTACAGTTCATTAACACAATACATATGTTTACCTTAAAAAGGCCTGGTGGACCTACACACGATGGTGACAATTCATTACACTTTTTTTTTATAAGAACACTGAGGCTGAAATTGCTTAAAAATTAAGAACAAAATAAGAAAAAATTAAGACTGAGGTAAAATTTCAAATGAAGTTTATATTTTTAAAAACCAAAATATTATATCTGTACATTATGTGCAGTACAGTGACTGTAATACCCTCTATAATACAGTACAGTAGGTGTACCTATCTGACATTTGGGGGCCTTTTTTTGTGGGGTCACTTTCACCTACATTCCAGTACAGTGCATACTGCCGTACAATTAAATAATTTTTTGTTTAAAAGGTGTGTAAACTAAGAACAAAATAAGAACATTTTGAGCCTGAAATCGGCCAAAAAATAAGAACACTGAGCCTGGGCAAAATTGTACTGGTTATTATAAAATAAATGTAATTAGAGCAACCAGTAGAAGTACAAGTAGAAGGTAATTATGAAATCAATCATAAAATATACAAATAGAAGCAAAGTTAAATGAGACTGGCTTGCCAAAAGAGATTAAAGATATCTGTCAAGTTGGTCGCCAAAAGTTATATAAACATTAAAATTTCATACCATATAAATATATTTAACATATTGTTATTTCTATTAATCAATTAGATGTGGCCATCCCAGTACAGGTAGAAGGTAATTATTAAATCACAATACCTGTATAGTGTAATTATATTGAATTTTAAGTGCATTATATCACAGTACAAAGTTTTATTCATAATCATATTCAAATAATTACATTTTTACAGACAACAGCTTTGATCAACACAACAGTGGTCAATCAAATGATAAAAGTGATGGTGATGATAAAGGCACAGGTAAAAAAAATATGCAGTTTAATATCTTAAAACAAGTAATGAAAAAATATTTAGCCATAATTGGACTCATAGACTACCAATGTCACCATTGATCAACTAAAAGATAAAATTAATGGTGATCATAAAGTCACAGTAACAAACAGAATAAAGTCTGAAATCCAGGCAAATTTGGATAGCCTTCCCTTTGAAAATTTTAAACAATCAGTACTTCCTTTTTCAAATGCTGTATACCACCCAGCCCCTCCACTAAAAATACTATTGGATTTTTCTTTTCTAAATTCAAATACTGTATATCAAGATTATAATTATACTTGTCATTTCATTTCATTTATTTTTCTCATTAAAATGAGACAGGCTTGCCAAAAGATATTCAAGATATCTGTCGAGTTTGTCACCAAAAGTTATATAAACATTAAAATTTCATACCAT